CAGGCGGGGGGCTCCGAGCCTTACTGTGTGAGGCAGTGAGGATCTGGCACTCAAGGTCCTGCCTCCTGATCACCCAGAAACCCTGTACTGCCCTCCTGGGGCCTCTGTCCTCCCTCAAGTGTCCCAGGGCACCAGAGCCTGCCCAGCGGCCTCTCGAGCTCTCCGGTGACTCATGGCGGAAGCACCAGGCATTGGGCCAGGCCCTGGAGCCCCTCGGCCTGGACCTCGCCTCCCTGCCAGGCTCCTGCCCCACGGCCTGTGATCTGGTTCAGCTTCAAGGGCTGCTGCCTTTGATCCCTGGGCCAGTGGGGAGCATGTCAGGAACCTCGGGCAGCGATGCCAGCTCTGGCCTGACTTCTGAGCCTCACGGGCTCTTGGAAAGGGCCCAGGCTCTGCCATCTGGGATTTCCCCGAGCGCCTCAGGGCCGGGCTGAGACTGTCCGTCCCTGCGTGTCTGCCGCTGAGCAATCTAGAGGTGAAAGCCGATCCATCTGGCCCCTGGAGGGACTCGGGGCCGAGGGCGAGCTGGACGAACGACAGAGGCAGCGCCCCACAGTAGCTGCGGGCACCACCGAGTCAGACCGCTTGGGCTGCTCGCGGACTGTGTGGCCTTGGGCAAGTCACTCCAGCTGTCCAGGCCTGTTTCCTCCCCTGCCCCCAGCGGGTGTGGTGACAGCTGGGGCCATGTCCCTAGGGGTTACTGCCAAGTTCATGACCATGATACCAGCTAGACCAGGTGAGCAGGGAGCACTGCCAGAGAGGAGGCTGGACCGCGGCCCTGTGAGTGGTGAGAGGTGCTTCAAGGGACGATTTAAGAGGTGACACGTGAACTGGGCTGTGAAGGATGAGTAGGAGTTTTCCTGGGGGATGTGGTAGAGGGAAGGAGACGTGCATGCAGGGTATGCTTGGGGACAGCAAGGAGTTCAGTGCAGCCCGGCCGGCGTGGCTCAGTGGTTGAGTGTGGACCTATGAACCAGGAGGTCACGGTTCGATTCCCGGTCAGGGCACATGCCGGGTTGCGGGCTCGGTCCCCAGTGTGGGGTGTGCAGGAGGCAGCCGATCATATGTATATATGTATATACAGTTCAGTGCATGCCAAGGCCAGAGGGAGGTGAGGTCCCAGGAATTCGCTAAGACCAGTCTAGGAGGCTTGGGTGTCCAGCTGAGGAGGGTGCTGGGAACCATGGCAGGCTTCTGAACGGGGAGAGGCACCCAGAGCCGTTCAGGCAGATGAATCGGGCAACATAGCGTGGGGACGAGAAAAGCAGGCTCTGGCTTGGCGTTCCAGCTCTGCCTTTTCCCAGCTGGTGACCTTGGGCAAATCGCATTCCCCTTTCTGTCTCCATTTCCTCATTTGTAAAAATAGTGCTGCAAGGATGAAAGGAGCTAACACTTGCGAAGCGCTCTGACAGTGTGGGGCACACACAGTGCCTGGTTACTGTGTGGGACAGACCAGAGGGCAGAGGGGAGGCGAGAGCCGCTGAGGATGGAGGGGCCCAAGACTCAGGGGACAGAGGGAGGTCACAGGCAGGGACAGGCCATGAGTCCCGGAGGAGAGCGCTGGCCTTGGAGTCCAGCAGGCCTGTGTGAACCGCAGCCCTCATCCTTCCCAGCTGTGTGATGCAGGAGAGGCCCCTCGGTTCTCTGAGTCTCAGTTTTTCTCATCTGTACAATGGGCTCAGGGTCCTGAGGAAGAAGTGGGGGTACCAGGCTCCTGGGAGACCCCTGTTCAGTGCATGTTGAACTTGAAACTGGCAGGAAGGGCAGAGGGAGCAGAGGAGGAGGCTGAAGGCGCGAGAGCGCGACAGGCAGGGGGGAAAGCTTGGGGGATGGGTAATTAGAACGTTTGAACTTTAAAAAAGTTAATTAATGATGAAGCTGTGCTGGAGCGCTGCTCAGGCTAGAAGGGGACCCTGGCAGCGACTGAAATTAATTACAGGCTGTGGCGGGAGAATGGCAGCGGGATGGGGCGGGCAGGAAGGAGCAGGGCTGGGGCAAGGAGGGTCTGAGCGGGAGGAGGAGGGAAGGCAGCATCCCAAGGTGAGCCAGGGCCCCCGGGATGGGAGGGAGGCTGTTACCAAGGAAACCAAGTCAGTTTCCCATCAGGCAAGAGGTGCTCAGCGCCCCTTGGGTGGGCTCCGGCTGAGGGTCAGGCTGGTGTGGCTGCCTCCGAGCTTGGAGCAAGGCTGGGAAATTGAGGCGTGAGGGTTTCCATCCGGAGACACAGGGTGTCCGCGTGGGCAGGGCCCAGAGAGATTTACTTATTTATGCAACAGACATTTACCAGGTGCCCGTCACTGTCAGCCGTGAACGCCAAACCCTGTCCCCTGGGATGTAGGCCCCGCCCAGGGCTGGGTGAAGGACGCCCTCTACTCCCTTGGCCACAGGAGGCTTCCCACCTGGGCTGGGCCCCACCTCGCTGGGCGCAGGGGCCGGGGAGCCCTGGGTACGGATATCCCGGAGCCTGGGGATGAGCTCTAATCCGACCGCAGGCGAGGAGAGCGGGACTGGGGTGTCCAGCCCGTCTCAGCCCCACTGGACCGGCCTCTGCAGGCTCCAGATCAGGCCTTGGCAGAGGTGGAGGGGGCATGGGTCAGGGGAGGGGAG